ATCGCACATGGCTGAAGATATTTTCCGTCGAATACGCAAGGAAAATTCAAAGATGAACATGAATTTCACAGCAGAAATCTACAATGAAGCGTTGATAATGATTGAAGATTTGTGCTTAGAAATCGCGAATAAAGTTCTCAATCAATTGGGAATGCCATCACCGAATCGATCTGCTGCTGCTTCGTTCGATGTAGAATTGTGTCGTGAACAAAATTACAACACGGGTGATCTTTTGTCGTATGTGCAATCAAATATTCCTAAGCTAACGCTTGAGCAAAAAGGCATTTACGATCAAATAATGCAAACTGTCAATAACGGGGTTGGAGAAATCTTCTTCTTAGATGCGCCAGGAGGAACTGGTAAAACCTTCCTAATTAGATTGATTCTGGCAGCAATTCGATTCCAAAATGACATAGCCTTAGCTCTTGCGTCGTCCGAAATAGCTGCGACATTGCTACCAGGTGGAAGAACTGCTCATTCCGCTTTGAAATTGCCATTGAACCTGCAATTCATTGAAACTCCCACGTGCAACATTTCCAAAGCATCCGGCATGGGAAAAGTATTGCAGAAATGCAAACTTATTGTTTGGGATGAATGCACAATGGCGTACAAAAAATCGCTCGAGGCTCTTGATCGATCATTGCAAGATTTGCGTGGAAACATCAGACCATTTGGGGATGCATTAATATTGCTTGCAGGAGATTTCAGGCAAACATTACCTGTAATTCCTCGATCGACACCAGAGGACGAAATAAATGCTTGCCTGAAATACTCTACTTTGTGGCGACACGTAAATACGTTAAAATTAACTACAAATATGCGTGTCCAGCTGCAAAACGATCGATCAGCTGAGATATTCTCACATCAATTGCTGGAAATTGGGAACGGAAAGGTGCTGGTTGATCTGACCTCAGGACGAGTTTCATTGCCTCATAGCTTCTGCAATTTAGTGACGTCAAAAGAAGAATTGGTTGAAAAAGTATTTCCCAATATTCAAACCAATTATAAGAATCACGATTGGCTGAGTGAACGAGCTATTCTTGCGGCCAAGAACAAAGACGTCTACGAACTTAACAATATTATTCAGTCTAACATTCAAAGCGAGGCAGTCACATACAAGTCCGTCGACACTGTTGTGGAAGCAGATGAGGGGTAATTATCCAACAGAATTTTTGAATTCACTTGATCTGCCAGGGATGCCACCGCACGTACTGCAATTGAAAATCGGCGAGCCAATTATCATGTTGCGAAATATCAACCAGCCAAAGCTATGCAACGGCACGCGGCTTGCAGTAAAAAAATTAATGAGCAGCGTCGTAGAAGCAAC